GTCTATGGAGGTTTGCAGGGCTGTGGTGGGGACATTATCAATGAACGCGTCCCTGTGCACATAGCACTGTACGCAGGGCTAGGGGTCGACTATGACAGGGACGAAAGAAAACGAATCCAAGGAAATTTGGAGAAGAACATCGACAGTATGCGATTATTATGAAAATAACGTTAGTACCTTCCACAATTTAATTGATCAGACCATGGAGGTAGAAAATTTGAGCACATGGCAGACTTAGTTTTCGTGACCAAATTACGTGTCATGGACTCGTTGACACCACGACCACAATGAGTCGGAAGTGAACATTTGGCCCCCGGACTTGGCCACACATAAAGCCTGAGATGAGCACCTGTAAAAGAAAACATACGCGTCTGTGTGTGAGCATCCTTGTTATATTAGCGCCGCTGTCGACTTTGTCGAGCGGAGCTTATCATATGAGTGATTGTCTGTCGTCCGTGTCAATGTTTTACTTTTTCGACTTCTTCTTGAAAACTACAAGTCTGAATGCTTTGATACTTGGTGTATACCGGTATGTACCTTGGGTAGACCTCTCTTAGATTTGTTCATTTCATGATGATATCTTCAATTCTCTAATTTTGGTGAATATTTTTGTTATTTTTGGTAAAAAGTGATATTTTCCACTTCTTGTTGAAAACCGCAAGTCTGATTGTTTTGATACTATACATATTGTTCATTTTCTAATGATATCTTCTGTTCTTTAATTGAAATTTGCATTGCTAACAGCGGAGCTATCTCAGCCGAGAGGCTGCTTGTTTTTCTTAATCTTTACATTCTCAATAAATAACTTGACAAATTCAATGAAGTTAGATTTGTTATACCTGATATAGAAAGTGAACTGAATGTAATATACCGGCAGTAGTCCCACTAATTTTGTCACAACAGTTTTGGGAACTAAAAAACAGAAAACACGATTTATGGCGAACAGGTTATTTTACAAATCTACAATTAATGCTAAGAAACGACACAAAAGACCAAGTCTTGGCTGAGAGCAGAAGGAGTGTGAGCCATGGTCAAGCGTCGTCGCCGAAACCTGCTCCGTGATGTGAGTCGCAGATTTGTTTCACATCACGGAGAGATTAGCATGGTACTTGATCGAGACCAGTCAACGCAGGGGTCACCACCGGACCATCGTTGCGGATACCATTTCCGTGCACAGAGTCTCATGTTTGACTCTATTCACGAAGAATGGCTGTGTGTTAATCGAGTGGTGCCCGCATGACAACCCCCAAATTATGAGATGGCCGGGAATGGCGCAGCGACAAGCAAGCCAAGGAATCAGTATAAATGAACCTGGGAATTGTTGTAGCATTGAAGTACATAAATGTGATGTTGCTCGTGATGTATAAAATGCAAAAGGTGGTCGTCACGACTGAAAGTGAAATAAATGATACAAACATGTCAAGGTAAATGTCTAAAGCGAAATATAGTTCATGTAAATAAATGTAACAAGGTTATAATGAGCGAGTACAAAGTTGGATGGTCGAAGGTAGCACTACGACATAACACAAGTACATGGATGTGGCAAACGAGATGCCAGTGTGAGAGTCACGTGAGGTTGAGAATCCACAGGTAGTAGGAGGAGGCGCCTAAGATGAATGTCCGCAGAGGATTCGAGGCACAGCTTGTAGCGTTGACGAAGGTGTGCCAATATACACTTGGTATGCGTCGCTTCGCCTTCTTCCTAGAGTCTTGATTAACCAATCTGGCATGTTCGCTTCTGCTGCGATTGTCGCTACCCCTCGTCTGAAGCTGTGGGTTGTGTACAGGCGTGGATTTTGGATCCCAGCTCTAGTCAACAGGTCACACAAGTGAGTAGTTAGGCTTTGACGTGTAAGCAAACTCCCTGAGTGAAACTGGAAGGCAGGCGTTTGGGGTAATGGGGCACTGATGCTGCAATACTTGGTGTACGCACGAACGGCACAGACTGAGGTGAATGTAGGCGCAATTTTGATGATGCAGCCATGACGAAATGGATCTGTTTTGGATGCACGTAACTGGACGTGTAGCTCAATTGCACATGTTATGTCTTCGATCAGTAAGGTACAGTTTTTGTCAAAATGCTGGGGCGACGTTGCAGTAAATTCCCTGACTTTTAGGAATCCAAAGAAGGTGACTGTAAATGCTGACCATAGCATGAGTTTGTCATTTGTGTGGATGGTTGGGTGCGTTTGGAGTGATTCTTTCAGGCATCTTAGAATGTTCATAGTGATAGGGAATCGTGGTTTCTTGGTGTCCCCTAATGACCTTTTGATGCCAAGTAGTGTACGTTGTAACTGTACGTTGTCCGAGATGTTGTCTGGTTGACCTGAGTCGGTGTGTAGATGGATAATGGCTGCCAGGTAGACCTTTTGTACGTTATGCCAGTCGGAGCTAGGTGGGTGGCGAAAAGCCCCCAAATTGAACAAGCGATGAGAAACTGTCTGAAAAGCTGTTTTGTTGCCAATGTTCCACTAAATTCGTTTATTCATTGGTTCAATTATTTTTTTATTGTCGATTTCATATCCAGTGTGAAATAATAAGCTTTCCATCAATATATAGCTTTGTGTGGTTCAGTAAATATTTTATATGAAAATATCAGTTTAGAAAATCAATACCAAAAAACGTATACAACATCCTTAATGCTATACTAGCTCTAGGAAAGTTTAGGTAATGTAAACTTGATTTCATTCACCCATACCCACACATACATGGAATGGGATTAAAAAATATAAATTTTTACATCTTTGTATTCATGTGCAGAAGAATGTCTATTCAAAAACTGAAACATTAAGTATTTTCAAACAACTACATTTTTGAAACCAGGAAACTCAAGTTGTCTATTGAACGGTAATTTCAGCATTATTGAGAAATACACCGCCCTCAAGCAGATGAGTTGTGAAAATATTTAGTTCATCAAGCAGGCACTCTCAAACCAACTTTCGAAAACTTTCAAAATCAAACAACAGTACCGATACATCAGGGGTTGACTATTAGAAACTCTGGAAAGGGGATACTCGAGAAAAAAAATTTCCCTTCGATTAATTTTGACCTTGAAATTTTTTGTTCGGAATGTTACTGTTTGTGTTCCTAGAATTTTGGTTAATTTTTCTGTAGAAATTTTTCTCAAAATTCTTTTTGCCGATTTTTTTTTTGTAATCTAAACCACCCCCAAATATTTTTATCCTCAACTCATAACTGCTGAATGCAAATGAAATCTTTCCTGTTCTAGGTATGCAGAGATCGAGCTGTGAAATCTTGGCAATTTCCAGAATTTGACGAAATCAACGAAACGCCATATGGATCTGGCTATCCTAATGATCCGGCAACTAAACAGTGGTTATCAAACGTTATGGAGCCGGTCTTTGGATTTCCACGATTTGTAAGATTTAGCTGGTCTACTGCAGATAAGATATTAGAGGAGAAAGCTGTGCCTGTATATTGGTAAGTATACTAAGTTAAAACACGCAATGTAGGAAAGGGGCATAGTTTTGTACTAGGGTTTTTATCGACAGACTGTATTAGTGAATATACTAAGATAAAACACATAGCATGGGAGGTGGGCATTGTTTTATACTAGGGTTTTTAACGACAGACTGTATTAGTGATTATACTGA